AAGGGTGCGTCTTATATTCCGAAAAATACGGTATATTAAATTATCTCTGCTCTGCAAACACTCGAGTTAAATATTGCTTTAAAAACTTTTACTTCCCTTTCACTGAACAGTTCTTAAATAGTTCAACTGCCTTTAATATTATATATATTCATTTATATTACGATTAAGTTATATGTATATGTATATCTTCTCTGATTTTAAGAATTTGTTTGTGAACAAACAATGGTATTTTTCTCATTTTATACAAAGTAAAATAAGTCTAGAATTATTATATTATTTATTGTTATATATATTTGATAATATTGCATTCCTTTTAATTCTTGAATACGGTAAACAACAACACGAAAGCTTATTAAAAATTAAATATATTATCGTATGTCATCAACAAATTGAACTGATAGGTAAGCTAAACTAAATAAATAATGCACATTGATTCCACACATGTAGAGTATTGTGTTATCCCTAGTGAATTATTGTGAGATTGTCCCTGTTTATGTAATACTGTAATTCTTGTTTATAGGAGCTAGTAATTGCTTGAGGCAAAACAGGCTTAATCCTTGATCAAATAAATGCTTTATGGAAAATGGTCCTCTTTGTTTTTTACTTCTTTATTACACTAAATACACAAAATCTAAGCCTATCTTAGCTTAAGTTACCACATTATTCGCTGCAAACAAATCAATATTTAAGAACAAACTATATTCCTAGCTACGAGATAGTCTAATCCGGGTGGTTTTAGATAGGTACTTACAGAGATTTCATTTACTCAGTAACTAATAATTCAACTAACTAAAACACGAGAACACTCTAATATATCTGAAATACGGTTAATGATTTAAGGATTGAACAAAGTTGTAGAAAAGAACGCTGATGTTTCAACTTTTTACAAAAAAATTCTTTAGTCGATATGTAAAATATTTCAGTGTTTTTATTCTTTCTTTGTTACTAAGCTGAACGCTGTACAATGGACTACCTGTAGAGTATCAAACGCAAGGATCGAACCTCGAGTTTTAGAGATATACGTCCTCACGCTGTACATTGGACTACCTGTATAGTATCCAACGCAAGGATCGAACCTCGAGTTTTAAAAATATACGCCGTCATGCTTCCTGTTGAGTCTCCTGATTGGAAGGAAATACAACGCGAAAATAGATTTTCGAACAAATTAAATATTTGGACGATAGTCATCTAAACTTTTAATGAGGTAATAACTGAGCACAAGCTGCACAGATGCGAATTGTAATGAATAAGAGAAGTAAGCGAACGTTACCCAAGAATTTGGGATAGAAATAATTTGAGGTTAAACTGTTACAATTAATATATCTGATGCTGATTTTAAATAAAAATTGAAAATATAAATTACTAATAAATTTAAATCGTAATCTGAGTTATGTATGTCTCCGTAGATTCGTTTTTCTTACAATATCTGGTAACCATGACGATAAATATAGTTTTTAAACACTCCATAAAATAACTATTATAAACCCAAGTATGCAAAACTTAAATATGAATTGTTTTTCTAAATGTATGCGTTTGTATTTTTGACAAGTTACGTTTTTGTGTGTGCATGACAATATGGTGTTATTATATGCCGTTTAAGTAGTGTTCGTGTATTTGCCTTCCATACGATACATTACCCAATACGAGATGTTGTGTTATAAAACATACATTACCCAATATGAGATGTTATGTTATAAAACATACATTACCCAATACGAGATGCTGCTATAAAACATACATTACACAATAGGAGATGCTATGTTATAAAACATACATTACCCAATACGAGATACTGTTATAAAACATATATTACCCAATACAAGATGCTGCTATAAAACATACATTACACAATAGGAGATGCTATGTTATAAAATATACATTACCCAATACGAGATACTGTTATAAAACATACATTACCCAATGCGAGACACTGTTATAAAACATACATTACCCAATGCGAGATGCTGTTATAAAATATACATTACCCAATACGAGATGATTTTATAAGACATACATTTCGCTAAAGCTTCTCAATTTCAAAATCAATTACCATTGACTCCAAAAATAGCAGATTTGTTTTTTGTTTAGAATTTTGTGCAAATCTACTCGAAGGCTATCTGCGTGACATATTAGAAGAAAGGAAGCTAGTCAACTCCACCCACCGCCAACACTTAGGCTACTCTTTACCAACGAATAGTGGGATTAACCGTCAATGTTTTAACGTAACCAAGGCTGAAAGGATTAGGACCCGCAAAAATTAATAGGATAAGACACATAGTTCTAACTGGAGCACAGGATGGACACTAGCTTTTAAAATGAGAACCTTATGTATTGTTTTATCAATAACAGTAGGTGTATTTCAAGATCCCACGTGCTTGTCATTGTTGTCATGGGACGTAATAGCTATTTTGTTGATTTAAACAAGGAATAATTGAATGTTTAGTAAAATGCTTTGTTGCAGGTTGTTTGTTTGTTTAACTGCGTTTAATAGACATTTCTAATAAACAGTATATCAAATGAACAATAGATTCTTGCTATTAACCAAGTCGTCGTCTGACGATGTAATAATGAGGAATTAATTATAAATAAATATCCATGTATTTTAAGCCTTAAAAATCACCAAAGAAAAATGTATTATTCGGAGTCTACTTGAACCCCATCCTTCACCATAATTATCTGTGTATATATATATATATACATATCGTACATAGAGTTATGCTTGAAGAAAAACATAACAATCATTCATAAAACAATACATTTCCATTAATCTATATTACAAGTGCGTAACAAAACACTAATATTCTTCAGAATTTGGGCTTTTTGTTAATATACTATTAATGAAATCCGGTACAAAGATCTATAGAGACACCTGATATAAAACACTAATATTCTTCAAAATTTGTTTTTTTATTAATATACTATTAATGAAATCCGGTACAAAGATCTATACAGACACCTGATATAAAACACTAATATTCTTCAGAATTTGGTTTTTTTTGTTAATATACTATTAATGAAATCCGGTACAAAGATCTATACAGACACCTGATATAAAACACTAATATTCTTCAAAATTTGTTTTTTTATTAATATACTATTAATGAAATCCGGTACAAAGATCTATACATACACATGATATAAAACACTAATATTCTTCAAAATTTGTTGTTGTTTTTTTTACCTATTTATCTCTAAAGAATGCTAAAAACGTGAATATGTAATTATTTTGAATGTCGTTTCGAAAATGTAAAACTTTTCACATGGATGTAACAACAAATGTCACATCAACATCACCAATACATTATACGTTGCCTCCTGAACATATTTAACATTTAAGAATATGAACACTATTTTCTTGTATCGCATCTTTTATCTGTTCAGTAAAATGTTTTGTAGAGCATTAGCTCTTAGTAGATCGTCAACTTCCATCTAGAAGAAAAATATTCTGGAACTTGTGTATCTCTTCATGGCTTCATGAAAATAATATTAATAATACACGAAAATAATTAATAAAGATGTATCACGTGTCAATACTTTTCTGCTATTTGTTTCTAGTGAACGTAGACTACGTTTCACCATATTCACAACAGTACACGAACTGCTGAACTTATTTCGCGAGCTGTGGTTTTTAATCGTTAGTTAGAAGGATCTCTTTATACGAAACTTTCCCATCGCTTTCTTTTGCAAGAATCTTAAGAGAACCCTGATGTACTGTTATACCACATTCACTGGATGCATGACTATGTGTACGTGATTAGTTATTGGTCATGTTAGCTTACATCTTAGTATTTTCGTGTCCCTAGTGGTCCATCTAATATACATGAATTACAACCAAGGCAAAAATGTACAAAATTCATAAGAATTGCATAAGAAAAAACAAATATTCTACGTTAAAAAAATCAACATTACGCCGTCTAAAATTAATTCAGCATAATAATATAATTACTAAAATTTCCCATTCCTAGAACTTATCCACATATTGATTTAAGAGTTATCTTTAAACGTGAAAATATATAACAGGTTATTTTTTAGGTTAATAGAAAAAGTACCGCATTCTAACATCTAATAGTTTAGGAATTTGAACATCCTAGACGT